ACATCTAATTCTGCTTTCCGTTGTTTGGTTTGAAGCTTTTCAAACTTCCGCTATTCTGATAAGGAAACCTTTCCTTCGTATTTTTGTGCTATGTCGTAAATAATGTTTCCATAATTTCGTAAAAGCCTTATTGCCAATACACATTTAATATAAACGACAACTTTTTTGAAAATAGACATGTTTCGACATCTCATGATGCCATCTTCTATACCATGCACGATATATTTTTTGGCTAAACAGTATAACGTAACGCACACTACAGCGTTCGTCATCGTTTGTTATCACAATGCATCACAGTACATATTAATAAATCCCAGACACTGATCACAATGCATCACAATGCATCACAATGCATCACACTACATCACAATGTATCACAATGCATCACACTACATCACAATGTATCACAATGCATCACAATACATCACAATGCATCACAGTACATCACAATGCATCACAGTACATCACAGTACATCACAATGCATCACACTACATCACAATGTATCACAATGCATCACACTACATCACAATGTATCACAATGCATCACAATACATCACAATGCATCACAGTACATCACAATGCATCACAGTACATCACAGTACATCACAATGCATCACAATGCATCACACTACATCACAATGTATCACAATGTATTACAATGCATCACAATGCATCAATGAATTATTGAGTATTAAGACGTAAAAATAAACGGAATGGGTTAAATTGTCAGTGAGGAGAGTTTTCATCGAGTATTTTCGGGAGAAAGACGAATGCGACACTGCGGACATTACGTCATTCGAGTGTGATAGTGTGATGTCGTGTGATGCATCACAATATTGCTAGCCAAAGTAGCAAAAAATATATCGCGCATCAGATGGGAATTACATCGTTACGTCACTGGGCGACTCTGTAAAGCCCGCCCCGCACACTGGAGGAACTTGCCTACGCCAAGTGTCATTCGTGATACTTGGCGTAAGTACTTTCCTCTAGTGTGCGGTGCCGTTTGGAGCGCTTTTTGTCACGCGTGTCACTTGCATCTGAACGGCACCGCACACTAGAGGAAAGTGCTTACGCCAAGTATCACGAATGACACTTGGCGTAGGCAAGTTCCTCCAGTGTGCGGCGGGCTTAATCGAGCAATTTCGAAGAGAATAGAATAGATGTTTTGTCTGTCAATTTTAAAGTCTTCTAGGTAAATGGCGTATTTAAACGATTCTTCGAGCGATATTTTGACCTGTTCTAACTTAAAAGATGGTAAAGAAATTTCAAAGATAAATGGAGGGTTTAAATATTATACTTTTGAACAGGTTAATGAAACGGGGACATATTTTTCTGACATGCTAAGACGAAAGCAGAAAATATGTGTATTGAAGATTCCAATTCAGAGTTTTAACGACACCACAATTTTCGAGGTATTTGTATATTTCTATATTACATTTTATATATATATATATATATATGCACTCTTTTTATCTGGTTCACCATATTTACAGTCCTCGAAATCACAGTTTGTTTATTAAAGAATTGTATTAATTTGTAGGCCGTGCCCACATACTTGGCAGTCGCGGAAGATTAGCCAGTGTTAGATAACCGGTTGTGTAAAACTTTAAAGAAAACTCTCCGCTACTTAAGAAACTGTTCCCACTTTGTTTTTCTGTTTTAGTACACGGTATTCTGTGTTGTAAATTGTAGGTAAATCGTAAAACCTTGCTGTTGATGCCATCTTCAATTTCTGAATTTCAAAGCGCTGTTACTTACACCGAACCTTATTCTAACCATAATTACTACAAAGCCCATGATGGCGTAAAAAATTACTGGCAACATGGTAGCTATTTCTCAAGTAACGGGAGCAACATGCTTCAAATTGCCATGTGGCACTAGCTATAGAATAGCATGTAAATTATCTGCACGACTGACAAAAGTAGGACATAAACACCTAGTTTTATGTATAGTAATAATGACATAAACAATCACTAGCCAAGCTAGCTTGCAAATTTGTCCTGTGATGTTAATTTCTTAGCTTTACAATTATTAATTTCTTTAGAACCAAATTTGCAGGCTGGCTTTGTCTCATATGTAGCTATAATTTGTTCAATTGCAAAGATTACATTTTGTCAGAGTAATAAACTATAGGATACCTGGCTTGACTGTTTCTTTTTGTAGCAGCTAGTTGTTTGCTGTCATATTATCATTTATTAAATACTTAATTGACTGTTTACTTGGCCTATATAAAAGCCAGGTCTGTCTAGTCATTCTCGAACAAGAAAAATTTCTGATATTTAAAATTGCCAGGTATTCTATAATTTAGCCACACCTATGTGTGTATTTCAGCCATTCGTGATCGGTGTGCTGCTATCACTTCTTTTTTGCTTGGTCTTGGAGTAGGTGCAATATTCTTTGGAAGTTTAACATGCTTGTCTGATGGTTGAGGATTCATGTCCACATTGAACTCTACCACATCATCCATCAGTTGCAGTACAAAATCAAAACACTTTTTCTCCAACACTGGTTTCACTATCCATTTTTTACGTCCTTTTGGGAAGACCACCTTATACCTTTTTTCCCCTTCTTACCTCTGGTGACTGTTGCTTGCCTCCTTCCAGTGTTGGAGTTGTGATCAATCACAGCTAGTTGAGTACGGGCCACCATTCCCTTGTATGAGAAGTGTTTACGTTTTGGTACATATTTTAGCAGCAAGGAATGGTAGACCTCAAGGTTGCCAGTATGGTGAAATTCTGTAAGCTGTTGTATACCTTTAAAAAGTTTTCTATTCAGAACAACCTCCTCCAATGCTATATGTGGGGCAGATCCAGCCTGCAACCATTTCGTTTTTCTTTCTTTGTTTTTAGATAAAGGGCCATGTGCACATTTGCAAAAATGTTTGCTATTTCTCCAATTATGTTTGTTGACTATATGATGTAAAATGGACACCCATTTCTCATGGAGCACTTCAGCATTTCCCTGACAACTTTGTGCACACCACCAAAGGTGATTGGATATAGACTGAATCCACTCTAGTAGCTCATGATTTTCTTTTTTCTGTGCCTTCTCTGTCAATTTTTTTGTCACCCACTTTGAGAGATGCCAAACATCATATTGGTGCACTATGGAAGGGTACCTCTTTCGCATTTCAGAGGTTATTTGAATGTGGCGGTCAGTTGTCAATGATCTCACTTTCACACCTTGCTCAATGACATTGTCAAGTGCTCTTTGGCATCCTTTTTTCTCCATTGCATTAGAGGATGAAACTTCAGAGACTTGAACAAGAGAAAAGTCAATAATTTTCTCTGAAGTTTCATCCATTAAGGAATATGTACCATATTTTGCGCTATGACCAGGACTGTCTGATCTACCATCACCACATAAGTCAACCGGTTTCATTTTGTTTTTGATGGTTTCAATAATTTCTTTTTGTTGTTTTTTATAGACATTGTCAATGACTGGGAAGACAATCTTATTTTGAACTTCATAAAACTGATCTTTATTTACAAAGTTTAAATTAATTGCATTTGCAAATTGCTTGGTGGCTTCATAGGTTCCTCCAGTCATGATAGTTGCAGCAGGAATTAAAATATTACCTGCTGGTTTATTGTGCAAATATGGTTGAGACTTCCACTGGTAAGTATGATTATTGCTACATGTTGTTTTTATGGCAACCATACTACCAATATGGGACTTCTCAATCTCACAAAGAGAACCACATATTCTACATGTTGCGAACAGCTTATCAAGCATGCTTTCAAAGACAATGAATTTTCTTTGATTTTTTAGTTCCTCACCTTCAGATTCCTCATCTGTATCTAGTTCCTCAAGATAGGTATAATCATCATCACTATCTGATGCAGCAATATCATCACTGCTTCCTAAAGAGATTTCTGAATCAGATGATATAATAGGAGTTGTTGTGATAGGAGTTGTTGTGTTAGGAGTTGTGGGGGATGTTACTGGTTTTGGTGTACGACTTGAAGAAACTGCATTTAAAGAGGGGGCAACATTTTTTGAAGCGTTTTTATTTTTTAATGGTTTCCTTTTTCTTTGTGCAAGAGTTTGTATGGCAACTGTCCTTTGTCTTGGTGTATCACACTGTGCTTCTGCATCAATGAAAACTTTTGGCTCACATTGAATCTGGGCATCCTTGGACAATGGACTGGGAGGCTGATCTTCAATGCATGTTGCAAGATTTGTATCTTCATCTAGTGATTGTATTATGCTTCTAACTTCCTACAAAATAGTCAAACTTCTCAACCAAGAGAGTACAAAGCTAATTGTTTAAAGAACAGTTCAATAACTTCAAATATAATCTATATGGTTGCAATATCCTATTTACCTCATGTCTTGCAATTCTATCTCTCATTTGTTCTCTTCTGTGTGACATTTTTCGCTCGGGTTTACGATTTAAAATGGAAATATCGATGGTACACTACTAGGTTTTAATATCTTTTCGATTTCATGCCGAATATCTCCTTTAGAGAAGTACTAAAGCAATCTGGGGTGAAATGGTCGCTACATACGTAACATGAATTTGGCTTCGGTATATTATCACGACGAACCCGTGCAAGCCATATTTTTGCATTGTTGGTTCGTTTGGCAATCGATGATACGATACATCGCTACCTTTTGTTTTTCTAGATCCGTTAGTGCAATTAGGCACCATGCAATGTGGCATTGTTCCGAAATATTTAAAGTAAACAAAGTAATTGTAATTGTGTCGCTTTTCCTGATATGTTGTCTATTTGAATATATATACGCTCCTGCGAAAGCGCGCAGTGACGTCACGAGACTTTACCGCTGCTTGATCGCAGGTTCGCTCGCATGTACATAATAGCTGATACAAAATATACAAAATTTCGTGGTTTCATCGCTTTATATCTCGACTTGTATTTAACTAGAAGATATAATATTTGGTATATAAGGTAATAAAATATAATCTTTCATTTGGGCCAAAGTTGTTCCGAACTCTGACTTCCCTTTAGACTTAGCTTTAGATCAGAGTCATATGTCAATAATTTAAATCTAAAAATTTTCCAAAATCTGTAGCAGGAAGTAAGTTATTATAAAGCCTGTTTCTTTAATTTCTGTAGAAGCACTATTGCTAATGTGCATTTTAACATAGACGACGAGTGTTTTACAATAGACATGTTTCGGCGTCTTATGATGCCATCTTCAGTATATGGAATAATAACCTATGTAATACAAAGTTTATATAAAAGTTTATACAAAGTTTATATGATACATAAATTATAAATAATAAGGAAATAGACTTGGACTTGGTTCAGCATTAAACCACTTCAACTTAACTCAAGGAAATTTGGCAACATCTGAAAAATCCACCAAACTATAAAACATGCATTCATCTCAAAAGAAAACTACATGCATCTCAAACAAAGCTGGCAGGGCACACATCGCTCACTCTGTACATCCTATCTATCCCTGACACCAGCTGACTTCAAAAATAATCCTTAAAAACATCTGCAAATAATCCAAATATTATCATTCCAAACCGGACAAAGGCAACGGCGTTGTGATCTTGGATCGTCAATGTATCGTAACTCCTGTCTTAAAATTACTAACAGCTATGGTGCAGTCCTGGCCGTACCATCACGTGAAGCTGAAACTCGTAATGATTCTAAAGAAGGAAAGGTTTAATAAAAAGTCTATAATGAAATTCTACAGAGGTTCTCAACTTTGGGTCTCCTCTATGGTTTACCGAAACTATACAAGAAACGAGCACCAGATCAACGACCGATGGTTTCATCCATCAACGCATACATTATAATTTAGCTGGCATTTTAGTTCTCTACTAACTCCACTCGTACCCAGATGACCACTCCACTAAAGATCTTCACTTTCCTCGACGACTCTCATCTTTCAACCCATCCACCTCTTTGTCACAAACTCTTCATCTCCTTTACGTTGAAAGCCCGTGCACAAACATACCACTGACTGAAACCATCAACCTAGCAATTGACGCATATCATAAACCCCAGTATCACTATAAACAAGACGGACCTCACGCATCTGTTTTGATAGTGACAGCAAAGACGCATTTTTAGTCAATGGAAAATTTTATGACCAGACGGACGGCGTTGGATGGGCCTCCCTTAGCCCCCATACTTGCATAACATTTCATGGGCTCGAACGAAACTGGCTAAACAAATTAAACGACACTAAACCACTATTTCACCGCAGTTACGTTGACGATATTTTCGTGTTTTTACTAATGAGACTGACGCCAAGGAAATTTTATTATTACATCAACGCACAGCACGCAAAAACATTAGATTCTCATTCTGAAACTGGAACAACAAGATCAACTGCATTTCTTGATGTTTTACTAACAAAATCTTATGACAGCTGTACAACATCTACATATCACAAAGCAAACATACACGGGTCTTCATGAAGTCCATAATTTCGTAAAGGAGCACAATGGTTATAAAGACATTTAAAATAATAGACGACAAATTTCTTTATAGAAAACATGTATCGGTATACTCTATGCCATCTTCTGGTGCGAAGTGAATAATTATAAAGGGAAAGGTTTCTTTAGCTGATTTCCGAAAATTGGAATAGTTAACAGCTAAAACGTAAAGGTCATTTTGATATAAATTTCCTCAATAATTGTCAATCCTTTGATGTCTATCAAAATTTATTTGTTTCCCACTACCAACCACTATATAACATATTATCATGTAAACTTCCTATATTTATTCACTTCTGCACAAAAATTTGGCTTATAGTATGCCGAAACATGTTTCTATAAAGAAATTTGTCGTCCATTTTAAATGACTTCTGATGAACTATTTTAGGGGCTCTAGCGTTTCATACAAAACCGGACTTATAATGCACACTAATCGACAGAGTATACAAACTGGGCAACACTAACAATGGTTTTTAAAGAGACATAAAACATCACATCCACTCTTTTACAGTGGCGTAGCTAGTGTCGTGCTACTCTGCACGGCGGGGTAGAAATTCCCAAAAATAATAAATATTCTATTTGGACACAGATATACATTATTTCACGAACAATTTGTATATTATAAGTTTTATTCTGTTTATATTTATTGCTTTATTAGGTGGTTCGTAATCAAATACAGCAAAATCTCAAGATTTGCTTATGTAACCTAGCAACCGCCTTTT